CCAACTTATAAAGGTAAGAATTCTTAGTAGTTGATTATTAGCTGAAATTTAAGTTGGCTTTTGATCATTGGGTGATACTTAATCTTAAAGAAAGCTTAAGTTGTCTTAAAATCATAAGATGAAGGAGTTAGAAGGAATTAAAGCTAAGGAATTTTGAAATGAAATCTTGAATGAGAGTTGATAAGTTAAATTGGAAGTTAAATTTGACTTGTAATCAATATAATTAAGACATATGAAAGGTTAGAATTGAATTTAGAACACATGGAAATTTGATGAAATTCTTTGATTCAAGAATTTTGGTGAATTATGAGGGATAATGAAGTGTTATAGTGTTATAAGAAGGTTTACATATGTATAGATAAGTTTTAAGGCATAAAGAGGGGTTAATAAGTAGAATTTGATGACAAAGTAAGAATTTTCGGGCTCAAAATGTAATTTCTGGGTTATGTGCATCGATGCATCTTCAATGTGTATCGATGCACTCTCAAATAAATGAACATCGAATACAATTAGCGCATCGATGCACCCTCTTAAGATTAAAACATCAAACGTGATTTGTGTACCGATGCATGGGTAGCACATCGATGCACATGTTAAAGGATGCATCGATACACTGTAGAATGTACCTATGCACTTCAAGGGGAAAATAGAATAAACCTTTTTTGGTCTAAGAAATGATAGATTATAGTATATCAATTGGATATTGATATGTATCAATGTATGATTATGTAGATATTGAACGTAACTCTGTTTCGGAATAATCGAAGAATTAGACACGGTCGAGAGAGAGAGAGAGATAAAGTGTTAGTGTTGATTCGAATCAAGCAAGACTAAGGTGAGTTCATGATAATAAGTATATGTTATGTTAGGGAATTAAGACTTTTAATGAGTCTGATTCCGATATTGGATTATAGAATACAAATATACAAGTATGTGGTGATATGATGTTTATGAGTAGATATATATGCCTATATATATATATATATCTAGAAGTTAAATGCATCTGTATATATGATTCATGTGATTGTATTTTTATGATTTTATGATGATAAAAGATGTGAATATAAGTTTTATATGAATACAAGAAGGATTATATGAAATGGGATCATATGATATGAGTTATATGGGAAAATCTATGTGAATAAGATAAAACATATATGTTTATGTGAAACTATGCAAAAAGATATAAGCATTGTGACAAGAAATATGAAATGACATGAAAAGTTGATAGAAGCTATGCAAAAGTGATCTATGTGATATAAGCTACGTGAACCACATGTTTATGTGAATATGTGAAATAAAATAATGATAATGCCCATGTTATGTGTCATGAGAGCTAGGGGTATAATTGGCATGCCAAGAGTCGAGGGATTATCAGTGGTCCTTCAGGACATAGTGATCTTTCAGGATATAGTGGTCCTTCGGGACATAGTGGTCCTTTGGGAAAAATTCTACGCACCCCTAGTGGGAATTATACGAGCTGTGGTGACAGCATAGTGCACAACCTCTATGTACTCAAATATCTTTAGTTCTCACATATGTAAATGGGCGAAGTTAAAGAATAATATGAATAAACTTGATATAATCTTATGTCTGTTTTATTGGGATGTGATATATGTGCTATTATGTGATAAAAATGGAAATGATTGTACATAAATATGTATAATTTGATATGATGCTACGTGTACTCGTTGTGAAATCATATATGTATATGTTTGTATTGGTTATATGAATGGATATATGTTTTTGTATAAGATGAAATTACTAATTGTTTTTGCATGAATTTGTGTATAGTTCCATTATATGTTTTATATGTCTCACTAAGTCATCGACTTAGTGTGTGAATGTTTCACACGTAGGTTTGAGAAGCGAGAATGGAAGTAGCGAGGAGCAAGATAGGTCAATATCTAATTTATGAGGATCAAATCAGAAACATATTGAATATATGTATTTTTTTATAGAGTTTAGTTGGCATGTAGTTACAAGATTTGAATTGAATATGCTCTGATCGGTTTTGAAGAAACAATTTGATTATAATTATTAATGTAAAGTACCTATTTTCTTAAATGATGAATTTAAGATTTTACGGAATCGTAAAGAACAGAGTTTTGAAAAGCCAATGCGACACCTCGGACTTGGATCCGGGTCGGATACAGGTTGGGGGTGTTACACATCCAATGCTTACAAGAAGTAAGTGTGGTGTCTTCAAGCCTAAAGTATATTCAGTTTCTTATGATACTATAGAACCAGTTAACGTGCATGAAGCTCTTTAATCTTCTCATTGGAAGAATGTTGTTTATGATGAACTTGAAGCCTTACAAAAAAATGATACATGGTCACTTGTTCCCCTACCTGAATGACGAACTATGGTTGGGTGTAAGTGATTGTTTAAGTTGAAGAAGAATCCTGATGGTTCTATCAGTAGATACAAGGCCCGACTTATGGCAAAAGGGTACTCACAAGTCCTAGGTTATGACTTCAATGAAATGTTTAGTCCTGCAGTGAAGTTTGCTACGCTTAATATGGTTTTGTCCTTAGTTGTAACAAAGGGCTGGCAGTTACGTCAGATCGATGTGAACAATACGTTTTTACATGGAGATTTGCATGAAAATGTGTTCATGCAGCAGCCACCTGGGTTTGAACAAAGAGCTCATGACAGTACTCAGTTGGTATGTAAACTTAAAAAGGCTTTGTATGGCTTGAGACAAACGCCTAGGAGTTGGCATGTCAAGCTAAAACAGTGCTTGATTCGAATAAGGTTTAAGGAGTCCAAGATAAATACTTCTTTATTTGTTCGTTGTGTTAGAGGGCAATATGTGTACATGTTGGTGTATGTGGATGATATTGTGGTAAAATTGAAGAGGTCGTAAAATTGTTGGGTGATGAGTTTGCTTTAAAAGATCTTAAAGAGCTTAGTTTCTTCCTTGGCATCGAGGTTATGAGATGTGGCGAGGAATTAATTCTTAATCAACGTAAGTTTATCTTGGAGTTGTTAATGAAGACCAAGATGGAAAATGCTGGGTTTGCATTTACACCCATGATGGCAACGTCGAAGATTACACAAAATGCGGGGAATCTGTTTAGTGATGCTTATGAATATCGAAGTATTGTTGGGGCACTTCTCTATGTCTATCATACGTGACCATATATTACGTTCAGTGTTAACAAGGTAGCACAATATATGCATGCACCCAGGCAAGGTCATCTTGTTGCAGTTAAAAGAATTTTACGATACTTTATTGGCACGCTTAATCATGGTCTAATTATAGTTCCAATTGTGGCAGGTTTGCATGTTGTTGCCTTTGCTGACGCTAATTGGGGTGGAAATATAGATGATCGAAGATTTATCTCGAGTAATTGTGTCTTTTTTGGTGATAATCTGGTTATGTGGAGTTCTAAAAAGCAGAAGTCTGTCTCAAGATCTACCATGGAGGTGGAATAAAGAAGTGTTACTGATGTTACTGCAGAGACAACTTGGGTGAGTGTTCTTCTCTTGGATATGGGATTAAACAGTCAAAGACTCGTGGTGTGGTGTGACAATAGCAGTGGTGTGACAATAGTAGTTCAGTGGCCATAACTGCAAATCCAGTCTATCATGCTAAGACAAAACATGTGGAGCTTGATGTTTATTTTATTCGGGAAAAAGTTGTAACTCACCAGGTGTGCAGGTCGTTATGGCTGGCTGTTAGGTTGTTGTAACTGTTACCAGAGTTGTTAGTAGCAGTTAGGCTTGAGTAAGTTAGCATTAAGACTTGAGTTGTGAGATATATAACAGTGTATCCATGCTTTGGAAATCAACCAATAATATTCTCTTCTATTTTTTCAAAAACTCTTGTTTCTTAACACTTATAAATAAAATTTCTAACCTCTATCAATAATCATATTTTTAATAACTTCATATTTTTAATAACTTTTATAAAAATATTTTTTACACAAAATATTTTAGGTTAACTATGCTGTATAAAACCTTATGTATTATTTATTTTAAAAGTATATAGAATTCTATAATTACTTATTAAAATGATATTATTTTCATTAATGCTATGTAAATACAAACTCAAATGTTTACATCATCTATGTTTTTATCGATAAAGTATACAAATGGTCCCCAATTATAACATTTTGCTTTGTTGAGTTCCTAATTATTAAAAGTTATAAAATATTTTTTTGACAATATGATGTTATATATTGAATTCTTTGACTATTAAAAATTATGAAATTGTCACTAGACAATTTATATGTTTCAAATTTGTCATTTTTGCTAAAAATTGACGGCTATTTGAAATGGATGTTAACATATTGACTGAGATATGATAAAATCATTTTTTAATGATGTTTACTAGCATTGTCATTACTTTCAAGAACTGGCTCAAGACATAATGCAAACGGAGTGTCAATATACAAAATATCACTCAAACGATTCTAAGATCATATTTTATCATATCGCAGTCAACAACTTAATGTACAACCTAGACAGTCATCGGAAAAGAAAAAGTTTAAAACATATGAATAATCGGATGATCATTTTATAACCTTCAATAATCGAGAGACTCAACAAAATAATACTTATAATTGAGGGACTATTTTATAACTTTTACTAATCGTAAACTCAAAAACAACCCTTATAATCAAGATCATTTATATACTTACACACCTAAACACGTTAATTATATCTCACAATTTCTAAAATATTATAATAAATTGAAATAAGAATCAACTTTCACATCAACAAATATGACATTGAGCATCATTTCGCAATCATCTCATAATCAAAGCCTAATTCATTTCATACCAAATTTATTTTCTTTCTACCTCTCATATAAATGATAAACATAAATCGATAACCCGAACCCAAGATCCCGAAACAAGTTTTTTTTTCCTTTCTTATATTTGCATTCTTACTACGCTTACATATACATAAATGATAAGTAAAGCAATTCAATGAAAGAAATCCTAATGGATGGATTTACAACCCCTCCCCCCCACCCCCAACCCCGGGCCCAAAGTGAAACATATTAACATACGAGAAGACTGAAAACAACAAATTCGTAATACAAACTAATAATAATTAACAGTAGTATGACACGGCATAGTTGGAGATGATCAACCATCATCACTTGGGGTCTCGGAGATGCTTTTTAAGTGTGGTCTCCACACCCCAACTCTCCTCTTCTTCGATCCGTTGTCGAAACCAAAACCGTGTTGTTGTCATTGTTGTCGGCGTTGCCCAAACTCCGGCTCTGTCGATGCTGGCGGCCTCCGTGGCCGTTACTGTCGTGTGTGGTGTCTTGGCTTCTATTGTTCATGTTTGTGGAGGAAGATTTATGGGGTGTAGGGGGAAGAGGGAGGAGGAAATAAATCTTGCCGCGTTGGAGCATTGCGTCAGGCGGGACGACGACAATATTAGGGACCATGCCATCGTGGGAGGGAGAGGAGGGTATCTTGAGGACGTGCTTAGGGTGAGCCTTCATGATCTCGCCGGCCATGATGGAGCCGCTGATCTCTTCAACGTGGCCATTTGAGTGTACTATTCGAACCACATCCAGCGCTCCACAAGGAAGAATGCAAGAGATGCAGCAACGTATGCTGTTCATCGCTCCTTATAGTCTATAAACCCAGTGTTTCAGAAATGTGTGCAGCGAAAGAGAAGTGTGTTTTCTTCTTTTTCCTCCGCTAACTCAAAAGAGAGACTGGGAATCAGAAATAACTAATGATGTTTTTATTATGAGGAATTATATATACTACTCCTAGCCCCTCACTTTTTGGTTTTTTTAGTTTTGGGTTCCTTTTTAAAGGGGATTTTCCCTTCACTTGCCATAAATAATTGCATCTTAGCTTTTTAGATCCATCATTTAAAGTGACTACAGTTGCAAAACTCATTCCATTCATCTTTAGTATTTTGTATAGCGGTTTAACTTGTAGATATTAATTTTTATAAACTGTTTTGGTTTGGCCTGTACGTTTTGTTATAAATCGAATTTTATTTATCTTAAGTTTTTAAATTTTAAAAAAATGATTTAAAAATATATATAGATGACGTTAATAGTCCAGTCCAAATATGTCACTCTTAAATATGTGCATATTTTGGATCGTGTAAAGGGTTAGAAACGACAAATAATCCTTATCAACCCTTAGTAATCATTGAGCCGTTGACATCTTAAATTTGCAACCACGACTTGTAGACAAGCGCCCACTTTCACTTTGCCACATATATATCTTAGCAAGATTTCAAACTTAGCTAATTTACTTGATTTTATTTCAAAAAAATATTCACGAGAGAGTCCAAGTTACCTTTCACATAAAGAAGTTAAAAGATTCATTTGTAATTAACCATTAATTTTTCAAAAGCTACATCATAACACTAAGAAAAAGAAATTTCAAGTTGATCCCTTAAAAGTGGGTATTGATTGTTTGATTTTGACGTCTATGATCTTAATTTTCACACAAGAAAACAAGATTATTATCATTACTAGTATTTAAATACTTCTTAAATTTGCCTGATAATCTGTAAGTAATGTCATATCCGAGTTGTGGCCTACAAAATTAAAGTTAGTGGGCAACATGTGATAATATGAAAGAAAAAAAAAAGAGAGAGGGGAGGGTCCATTGGAGTTTCAACGTTTGTGGGATCTTATTTGAGCATCTCTCTACAGTTTTAAGACACTTTCAATCACCCTAAACCATGTGTATACTAAACTGTATGTTAAAAATAGGAGTCTCCTATATCAATCGCACTGGACCAAACTCCTTAATCTTCATATAAACAAATAAAATCATAATGAATAATGAATATTGATTTATGTCCTTCAACTGACTAAAATACATTCTTAACAATAGATCTAACCCATTCGCTTGTTCCTTAGCCACTTAGGCCCATTCTATTAAGTCTTCTAGTTTATAACAAGTTTTGTTATATAAGATCTAGCCCAATCAATTGTTCCTCAGCCACTTAGGCCCATAGAGCAATAAACGAACCGAATTTGTGTAAATAGATTTTTTTTTCTGTATTGGTTTATATAATTTTTAACGTATTCGTGTCGTTCACGACGGTAAAAGATTATAATTGTATTTTTCATCTAAAATTATGTGCTGTTTTACTTAAACTACGTGAATCTATTTTTAATACTAACTGAACATTTATTTTTTTTATCTAAGATATTTTTTTATAAGTTGTTTTATCATTCTTTTTATTTAAAATTTTTAAAGTTAAATTTAACGTCGTCTCGACTAATCAATTTATTTATTATCATGTTGATATTTACTTAGTCATTTCCTCTCATATGGTCCATACTCCGGCGCTTCGACAACCTGCAAGTCTACAATCGATTCGTGAAGAGCTGCAAGTTGAGGGCGGGCAATGGCGGCATCGGGAGTATACGTGAAGTGCTGGTGGGGTCAGGGTTGCCCGGGGCCACCAGCACGGAGAGACTAGATGAACTTTATGATAGTGCCTTGTTATGATGATTAGCATTATCGGCGGAGATCATAGGCTTGTTAATTACTGTTCTACTACTACGCTGCATGACATTAGCAACGGAGGAAAAGACGGGTGGAAAACCGTGGTGGTAGAGTCGTATGTGGTCCCAGCGGGGAACAGCAAAGAGGATACCTGCTGTTTTGCTGATATGATCTTTACTGTTAACTTTTTTAATTTCTCTTTGCTATTTTTAATTATGCATTTTTCTCTTTTATTCGTTTAAAAGAACAGAGAAGAAAGACTAGAAACAAGTTTTTCCCATTACCGAAACCTTTCATAGTTTTCCACATTTGGGGTGGTGGTAGGGTTATTTGCATTTGAAACTTGATTTTTGATGTTAACATAATCAGTTTTATCACTCGATTGTGGTTAGGTAATAAATAAATTGGTACTTCTTCCTCACTCTAAAGTCTAAAGTTTCTGTCCTATTTATAAATGAAATTCCTCGGTTTCTCATATGTAAGGAAAGAGAGATTTACAACCCTGTAAAGGTCTGAATGAAGACAGTTCTTAAGGGTGTCGAATGCCCCATGTGAAATGGGTCTTGAAGGATGGGCTACATGATCGCTTGCTGCGACTAGTGGTACTGGGTGAAACATGAACCCAGTCTTGGAACAAAAGAACTCGCAAGAGAGATTTCACAAATATTTTGGGGCCATGCCATGGGAATAATACAAGCACAGAAAGTTTCAAAATGCCCCATCATCATCACCACGTTTGAAGCAAAACTTTTGGCCGATAAATTCTCTCCACACTTGATTTTGGGCCCATGGAATCTGGATCTCTCTCCTATACGTTGAAAGAGAACTTTATATTATAGCATTTAGATACTGTCAAGATTTGCAGACACCAATGCTCTTTAGCAGAACATAACATTTTATTCCTGTCATATCTTTAAGTACAATCCACCCTCGATGACTCGGCTCTGACTCACAAATGCAAAATACAAAGAAAGCAAAAAAGCGTAGCAGTGCCCAACGTCCCCCTCCCTTGTTCACTTTTCTTTATCCTTACTCGTTCCATGAGTACTTGCCATCATTTTAGGACACCCCTAAGCCCCAAACGTCAAACATTTTTCACCCACCTCTCCCTTACTCTTTTCTAGCCACGTCCTCTTTTTCTTTTTGCATCATATAATCGTCTTTTTCCTGGAAAAAAAAAACCACTTGCTTCAAGCGATGTTTTTTTTGATTAAAGGTTGAACAACGGTTAAAGTTAAAGTTCAAAATTCTTGTTTCCTTTGTCGGTTACCCTTTATTTTTTGGTATACAATAGTGAATAGTCTTGAAATAGAACTCAGTTCTGGGTTGTGGTGTTGGCTTAGAGATGTTTTGAATTGGTGAATAGAGTTGTCGATTATATAAAAATGGAGGAAGGCAAACTAAATTTCAATGCACCACTTTTATCGGTGAGGCGGTTTTCTTCAACACATTGTTTTTCAGCTAGTGATAAGCAGAAGATAGTTGAGAATTATTCTTGCACAAGGGCACGCATTCTTCCTTCCAATAACTCGGATGTGATTTGGATCAGGTGACAGAACCTGTTGCAGTTCCTTTTGTATGGGAGCAAATCCCTGGGAAAGCAAAAGGTGGCCCACAGCACGAGTTTCAGCCTGAAGCTTCTGTTATTCCTGAGCTTCCGCCGGGGAGGGTTTCTCATGTCATCAAGTATCCTGGGGAGAGAGAATCTAGAAATCAATATGTGCTCAGGCCCCAACATTCTATGCATGATAATGTGTCTGGATTACAATGTTTAAACGACGGAATGAATGAGAAATGCATATTGGAATTGGAAGATGAAAATGATGTTTATTCTGATGCACTTGATACCTTGTTCCCAACGAAGCCATCAATGGCTCCTGATCATCCCGGAGAGGTTACGGAAGTGGCTTCTGGGGAATGGGAACCTCTTGTTAATAAATATGACTCGTTTATCATTCCACGTTCCGGTATTCTGTCCAGAACAATACGTGGATTGTTGCCTCGATTATGCTTCATGAACTCTGTGTGCCTCTTTATTCCCATCACGAGATTAAAAGTAAGGACTCGCTCTTCGATTTCATCTAATTGCGAAGTTGCTAAACCTGGAAAAACTACATCCATTAAGTCTGGCAACCGAATTGTTGAAAAGGTTAGTGTGGAGCGTTTCTATGTTCTTTAAAAGTGTACAAGATTCTATTTCATTGCCATGCATTTACAGTTTTGTATCAATGCAGAATGGTTGGGATGTTTGTAACAACAAATCAGATAGTACAGTTCAATCCTTGAGGCTGCCAGAGAACAAATCAGATAATGAAGCTCAAATGCGCAGGCTCCTGGAAGACAAATCAGATAGTGGAGTGGAATCGTACAGGCTCCCTGAGATTGGAGAAAAGGTGTCATGTAGATCGAGTCAGTTTAGCAGCGCGAATGACCTGCAGATGGTAACTTGGTTACCCCCGAAAAGGCCTACAAGTAATGCTCGCATTCCTCCTTATCGTCGAGAGAGACCTCAATCTCCCTTCAGTGGAGAGGGGTTTCTTGGAATGCCGAAACAAGCTGAGAAATTCAAAGCAAATATGTTGGTTAAGCATTCCACTAGCACTAACTACTCAAAGGAATTAGTATCGTAACAAGGGTCAGATTCCCTGAGCCTTGCAGTTGAGAAAACGCTTTATGTAGATACTGTAAAAATTGGTGGTTCAATTTCCAATTCCTCAGATACCATAGTAATGAATAGAATGCTGGAAGGACCTGCTAGTGTAGGATCTTCTCTTCAAGACATACAAGGCGTGATCTTTTAGACAGAAAGGGCATAGCAGAAAATGAAATCACAGGGTCAATGAAATCCAGTTGCTCTGACAAACCTTATCTCAGAGTTCAAGCTGATCAAGGAGAATCCAAGGGTGGTTCAGACTATGCTCCTCTACCTCCTCCGTTACCGAAATCACCATCAGAGTCTTGGCTTTCGCATGCACTGCCTGCAGTAACATCAAGAAATTCATTTTCCAAGTCTTTCAATGGCACTCGTTTTAATACTAAAAAACAGGAACCTATGATACCTGCAACTGGTACCAAGTGGGAAACAGTGGTCAAATCTTCTTACATGCATCATCATCATCATTATGTCCGCTATTCCGAGGTAATACTATCAATACTCATCATTCTTCACTAATGTGAGATTCATTTCTTAAATACTAACACTTGTGTCCTTAATAGGAACTAGTAACCCACCATTCTCAGCAATCCAAAAGTTAAA